AAGGTGACTAGGGTCCAGGGAAGTTAAGTAATAATAATAACAGATAAGCTGGGCTCGGTGGCTCAGCCTGTAATCCTGTGCCTTGGGAGGCTGAGGTGAATGGATTGCCTGAGCCTGCAGGTTCGAGACCCGCCTGGGCAAATTCGTGAGACCTCATCTCTACAATAAATCAAAAAACTAACCGGGTGTGGTAGCGCTCGCCTGTAGTTCCAGCTACTCGGAAAGGCTGAGGCGGAAGGATCGCCGGAGCCCAGCAGGTCGAGGCTGCGGTGGCCGGGAGCGGCCACTGCACTCCAGTCTGGGCGACAGAGTAAGATTCCAACTAAAAAAATAAAATAAAATAAAATAACAGATAGCACTTAGTCGAGTATTTCCCATGTTCAAAGCCCTTCATAACTATACTTTCTAACCCTTCCATTGATCCTGCTAGGAAAGTAGTATTGCATTATTTCATAGATGAGATCACTGAGGCTCAGAGACTAAGTAACTTGTACAAAGTCTCACAACTGGCAAATGCTGCATAAGGGATCTGAACCTGGACGACTGGCTCTAAAGCCCACATTCTCTATGTGTCGCTGCAAAAGAAAAGAAAATCAAAGAGGCCCTAGGAACAATAGATGATGACAAGCCCGTGTCTAGAACTCTAGTACCTTAACTCCGTGAGCGTGAGCGGGGCTTTTCCCACTTTACCTTGTCCCATAAATGGCCCAGGGCCTTTTCTTTTAGCTTCTGGCTTATTGGCTGGTCACCCCCTGCACAGGCTGTTTCTAGAATTAATTAACACAGTGGTCAGGATTCCCAGACTTTTCAGCCTCTGCCACCATTGGGCCAGAATTCACTTATAGAAAGTTATTTCCTTTTTTAGCCAGTAAGTGCTCTTGGCTGCAGCAGTGTCTACTGCCTGGCTGAACAGCAGGCTCTGGTGTTCCATTGATGTAGAATCATAGCAGGAACAACAGAAACAGCAGGTGGTGGGACTCCTGGTCTCTCAGGAATAGCGGGGGGGGGGGGGGGGGGGCGGAACCCTGCTGCTTGTGAGATGTTAAGCAAATCACTTAACCTCTCAGTTTCCAACTGATCTGACCAATGGTACTGTTTACTAATAGCGATTAAAGAATGTGTGGTTAAGCATCTAGAACGGTATCTGCTACATAGTAGGCATTCAATAATATCAGTTCTTTGTTTTCTTTTCTGACATTTCCAGAAAAAACTCCCCTCAGACATGATCCAACTAGACATCTGGATATAGAATCTGATAGTGTCACAGGCTGGTAAGACACAGCAAAGACCCCCATGTGGCACCGGTGTAGGAGGGTGACTATCAGAGACGGGAAAAACATAGGCAATGGAAAGGGTATTAATTTATCTGTAAATTAGTTATTTCAAAAGGATCCCTGGGGCAGGGCTGAAGAGGCGGGGGGGTGCAGGGCCCACTCCATCATTCCCCTCTCATTCCTGTGACGGGTCTAGCCTGCCTCCTAATGTATCTTCAGCCCAAGTTTTTGGGCCTGGATCTGGACTCCATCATAAAAACGTGTGCTTCATGGGATTCCTCCCTTCTGAGGAACTGCAGCACTTTTGAATCTAATCACCAAGCTGAAGGCAGAGCCACAAGGAGGGGTTTGAAGCAGCCTCAGCTCTACTTGGAAGAGAAGGAGGAGGCTGTCTAGTTTGTGAATTGAGGGGAAGGGACATCTTGTCTCCTAGCTACTTCTGTCTTCTCCCAAAGTTCTAAATCTTGGAGTTCCCTGGTTGGAGTAAAATTCCAGAAGTCCCCTGTGAAAATGCAGTGCTAGCATTTCATGAAGAGAGGCTCTTCCTAGTTCCAACTGTTTCCTTATGACCCTAGACAAGACATTACACCCCCCTCCCCGTGTGGTTTCCCTAGTGTAGTGGTTACCACGTTCGCCTCACATCCCCCTCCCTGAGCCTCAGTTTGCTCAAGTGTAAAACAAAAGGGGTGAGCTAGATTGTGGCATAGGCCCTTCTAGGTCTAAGTTAGAATATCTGGGGGGTTTGCAACTTGACCAGTTATAACAGTATGGCAAGTTAGTGGCAAAGCCAAGAGGTAAGTCCGGAGTTTCCAACTTCCAGCTTAAAAGTCAGCAAAAGAAGTCCTAGAAAGAAACCTGTGGTCGTAAAAATCAAGCCGTATCTTCTCAGACTTATTTGTCATGGTGAGTCTTCCTTGCAGAAAGGTCTTTGCATCAAATAAGATGCATTTCAGACAGACTTGGCATGAGGACCAGGTGACCTGGGTTCTACCTTACTATTCTGTTGTTCACTGAGCACCTACTATGTGATAGCTAGTTAAAATACTTTATTTAATTCTCAGAAAACCTTACAAAGAAGATATGTATTAGCCTCTCTGGCGAATGAAGAAACTGAGGATCAGAGACGTTAAATAATTTGCCCAGGATTATGCAGCTAAAATTCTAAACAAATGTGACTCCAAATGCCCAGGCTCCTCCTCCCCCACCCTAACTCTAAGGTCCCTCTGTGCTACTTGCTCACCTCTGATTCTGAGCCCTCTCAACTCCCTTTCCTTATGAAAGTGAGTGGATTTTAGAATGATGAGCTTTATTTGCCCATTATTTGCTGTTAACATGTCAGAGACAATTGAATCTCAAAGTGCCATCAAGCTGTCATTCACCAAAGCCAGGAGCTTCCAACAATAGAAAGGAAGTCAACTTTTCCTAGAGATCTGGCGCTTTCCAGGAAAATGGGCATCCCTCCCCTTCATCCAACTCAACCCTTGAGTCCAGGGTGGGGCCTCTGGGAGTTAGTTCACACAGTGAGCACTGGAATCCCCAGTGAGTCCCTCCCTGGGGCAGAAGGTGGAACCCAGTTCCTGTCCTAATTGATCCACGCAGACAGGCCCCCTGTCCTGTTTTAATTGACTGAGCCCAGACGTGGAGTCAGCCAGTACCCAAGAGGCTGTGGCACTGTGGCACTGCTTGTGCCCTCCACCAGCCAGTAGAGACGATGAGGAGCAGATGGGCAGGTGGGTGTCATTGCTGAAAAGTAGAACTGTAGAGCTGCTCAAGTGGAAGAATCAGGGAGGTTCAGGGAGAGACACAGGCTGGGAAGATAGCCAAGGATGGAGGTTAGAAGAGCCCTAGGTGTGAGTGAGCAGGGTAGGGTGTACTCCTAACTGAGTCAGCCCTGACCCGCTGTGTCATCTCCAAGTCACTTCCCTTTTCTAAGCCTCGTTCTCCTTATTTGTCAAAGGTAGAGGCTGGTCATATAAGAGATCTCTTCTAGTTCTAATGTCCTGGGACCTTAGGCCAGTACTAGGAGAGGGGATAGGAGTGAAGCAGTCAAGAGATAAGAACAATAACGAGTGTCAGGAGTCCAATAAGAGCACCTCTGTGATTCCAAGGCAGAAACAAGAGCCCGATTTTGTGACTCCCTGGCTCTAGGAACATCATGTGTGTAGGTGAGGGGATGCGCAGAGGGTGTCAGGTTAGAAGCCAGAGAATCCCCTCCTGCTCTGTACACTTTGGTCACTGAGACTCCTCACTGGCAGCTGCTGATTGAGGAAGAGGTTCTGAAGGACAGCCAGGAGAGCAGATTCCAAAGAGCTCTGCCACCCTGGGGAACCTGACAAGAAGGTGGAAAGTTCAGAGCTGTCCCTGGAGAGCATGAATCAGGGGCTGGGCTGGGCTGTGACTCTGGGGGCAGTGGGTGGAGGAGATGGAGACCACTTGGCCTGCTGATGCAACAGTCAGGCTGGGAGGTCTCCAAATACCAGCTGGAGTCCCAGCCATGAGTCATGGCACCAGGCAAACAGAAGTGCAGCACCTCCACACATGCCCCTTGGTCTCTTCTCTGTCCAGTTGCTGGGTTTAAGGTCTCCTGACTCCCTGTCCAGTGCTCTCTTCACTGCCTTGCCTTCTCTCCAGCTCACTGGATTTCATGATTCCAGAGCTTTGTTCAGAAAACAGCCATCCCAGTGATGCGCTGAGGAGTGAGTACCCAAAATCCCTCTATAATGATGAGACACTGCGAAGGGGGTCAGAGAAAAACTGAACAAAGAAACAATAAGGATGGGAAATCCTGTGCTGGATGTCTCTTTCAGGGGTTTTGAGTTACACTGGAGCTTATGGAGTCATAGTCTTGTACAGCATTACTGCTGAATGGAACCAGAGAGACCTTTCTACTTTGAGCCCCTGCTTTTATAGATGAGGCCCAGCAGGGGAAAGTGTCCAGTCCAAGGCCTCCCAGCCCCTGGGTTAGGGCTCTTTTGCCACATGCTCAGAGGAAACGTCAAGGAAGGAACTGACAGAACCTTCTGCCCTGTGGTCCCCTGTCATGCACCACGCTGGGGTGGGAAGGAGACCTTGAGTGGGAGCTTTCTGGGCTTCCTCTCTCGTCTCAGTAGCCTCTTTCCTTTGGCTGCAAGTGGCAGCCTGGATTTCTTTCTTGCGGCCACTGTGCAGTGGGGACATTATACTCTGCAGGAAACTAAGCAGGGAATATTTTTAAACCATCCGACATGCCTTAGGAGAAAAAAAAAATCAAAACACCCCCCTAGATGCTGTGAGAAGCATTTCAAAAAAGATTCCATGCCTAGAGGAAGCATCGTAAAACAGAGTTGGTTTTATTTTTAAAAGACCAATTCCCGTTAACAAAAGTTATTGAAAATGGACTGGTGACCCACTTCTAATCTAAGCTGCGCCCCCCCCCCCCCCCCCCCCCCCCCCCCCAGCACTGCGACTCCACAGGAGGGGAACTGGAACCCCGAGGGCCACTGGCTCACATTCTGCAGCTCCCTATGAATCAAGGAAGCAATTAACCTCCTGCTCCACTAACCTTCCTTCTCAGTTTATCCACACCTTACCATCACGGGACATAGTGAGAGGGGTAGAAAAGAAATCACAGGTAGAAGGAAGGAGCTCTGTTTTTATCCAGCCCAGATTTCAAGTGCCTCTTCAAGTGCAGTGGCTGCCTCCTATCAACCTGTAGTTTCAGCTCTGAAAATTCAAGTCTATCCTTACCTCCTTCTTCTCCTCCTCCCTGGAAGTTCTGATGGCTCCTTGGTGCTCTGGCTGCCTCTTCAACTGTCCACTGCTCTTTGCTCTTGAGCCTGTCAGTTGTTCCTCTTCAACCCTCTTTTTAATCGTATCTGCCGCCCTCTCTCCTCCCACTTCTTCCTACTCTTTCTCTCTCCACCCCTTTCCCCCTCTGGATCTCTCCCTCCCCCCTCTCTCTCTTTCGCTCTTAGAATCTTTGCTCTTTTAAAAAGTCTTCCTCAGCCGGGCTCGGTGGCTCAGCCTGTAATCCCGCGCCTTTGGGAGGCTGAGGTGAGTGGATTGCCTGAGCCCGCGGGTTCGAGACTCGCCTAGGCAGCGAGACCTCATCTCTACAATAAATCAAAAAATCAGCCAGGCGTGGTAGCGTGCGCCTGTAGTTCCAGCCACTTGGAAAGCTGAGGCGGAAGGATCACCAGAGCCCGGCAGGTCGAGGCTGCGGTGGCCAGGAGCAGCCACTGCACTCCAGTCTGGGTGACAGAGTGAGACTCCAACTCAAAAAAAAAGTCTTCCTCCCTTTACCCCCTGGCAGCCTCTTCTCACCAGTGCTCTACCCAGAAGGAGGCAGAGCAAAGCCCCCTCCTCCCTGCCACCCTCCCGCTGTCCTCATCACAACAGTCCTTGATGTTTGTCCTCACCCTTCAGCTGACTGGTGCTGCCTCCCTAGTTCTTTTCCTGCCCACCCCTCTGCTGTGCCTCCTCGGACTCCTCAAGCCATGGCTTTCCTGGGGCATCTGCAGGGAAACTGGCACTGCCCAAGACATCCCTCTCCCCACCCTTTTCCTGTCATCAGAAAAAAGAGTGTTCACTCACACAACAAGCCTTTGGGGGACCTCTGTTATGCCCACATCAGTGGGCTGATCATTAGCAGGACAGGAAAACATGGTCTCACAAATCACAACCATTCGGCACCCAGAATCAGCACCATAACTTGAAAGAAAAGAAAAGCTGTTCTCAGGGCTCTGAACATCAGGGGTGTGCCTCACTGTCCAGGATCATACTCTCTCCCCCTTCTCCTTCAAAGAGAAGAGAACACCTTCTATGCGTCAAGCACTGGGCAGAGGCTTCATATATATATTACCTATTTTTATGTTACTTAATAATTTTCATTTCCAGTTCTACCAAGTAGATATTTTCTGGGCATTTCACATTCGAGGAAAATGAGGATCAGAGAAAACAATATGATTATGGTGACCCAGTTAGTAAGTGGTAGTCAGGATCTGAAGTTTCCGCCAATACCAAAGTTCTTCTCTTTGCTCTTTTCACAAAAGCATACAAGTCTCCTAGCTGGACCTGAATGGATGAAAGTAAGGTTGTCTCATGTTAGATCATATGTCACAGCTGAGCAAATTCAGAAACTGTGGGGCAGCTCTCTCCCCAAACTACCCTCCATTCTTCAACTTCTCAACTTAAACATTTAGTCATGGACCCAGTTGGGATGTGATACCGTCAACAATAGAGGCTACTATGAGTGGGCTGAAATCAGACAAACAAATGACTAAGAGATCCCAAATTATAAGAACTGAAGAAAGCCTCAGTTTTTCTGGAACAGCCAGGAAATCTGAGGTTCAGAGAGAAGGCCACTTGTCAGTGTCACACACAGTAGTAGGTGGCAGAGACAGAACCAAAAGCCAGACCTGGCCCTTCACTCCATATCATCACCTGAAACATGCCTTCCCCATATAGCACCAAAGACATTCCAAGATTTTACAAAACTGTTTGTTTCTTTAATGAGCTTTATTTTGCATGGGTGAATAAGCTTAGGATCAGTAAGAGGGGAAAGCACATGGGGCTAAAATTCCAGTGTCGAGGGAGGCAATAGCCCTGGTGAAAGCAAATGCAGGATTCTTGATTCCTTAGCCAGAATTTCCCCCTTTTTCTATGCAGCCTCAGAGCATATTCTGTGGCCAGCCTGACTGGGTTTGAATCCTGGCTCTGCCACTTATTAGCTGTGTGATGCTGGGCAAGTTAATTTAACCTCTCTGCATGTCAGTTTCCTCAACTGTAAGTTGTGGTAATAATAATATCTATCTCATCGAGTTATAAGAACTAATGATTATGTGTAAAGCACTTAGAACAGTGTCAGGTATATGGAAGTGCTGTCGATGTGGCTGCAAAATACAACACAACTCAATACAATACAATACTTGTCTCCTCCCTGCCTGTACTTAACCATAGCTGAACCAAAGTCCTGGGATAAAACTCAGTGTGTGAAATCAATAGAGATACCCAGTTTCTTCTCCAAAATAGAGACTGTCTCCACACTATGTCTTTGTTCCTACATCCCAGTCATACTCTACAAAAACTGGGGCACCTAGAAACACTTTATTATCTCCAGCCAGGAGACTGCCCACTAAAGAACCCATAAAGTCTCATTTGGGGGATGGTCTGGAAGTGTGAAATGTTTGATGGAATCTAGATTCCCAGATTACTGGGCTAAGAGAGCTTGAGCAGGGCTGGAGATGACAGGAGAATGCCATTTTCTCCTGAATGTGCAGAAGGGAAGACCTGCCTCGATGTAGGCACCCTCACCATAATGGAGGGAATGCTGGATGTAGAAGGTAAGTGTTTCCTTCGTGCTTGGCAGGTAGAGAGAGACAAAGCAGTTGTCACAGATTAGGTCATATGTCTCAGGTAAGCCAAGTCAGAAACTATGAGGCATCTCTCTCCTCAAACTCCCATATCCTCCAACTGCTCCCCCCAACTTCTAAAGAAACTGGATGAAGTGCTCCAGGCAAACCAGAAAATCTGCATTAGGGCTAGGAGAAAGTTGGAGTCTCTGACTGGGCTCCTCCCAAGTCAACAAAGTCAACAGCTCCCCAGCCAGCACCGCTCAGCATGGTGTCTAGGACAGAGAGTATTCTGATTGCCATAAGCTAAGCTGCTGCAGCAAGGCCTTCCGTGGCTCAGGCGAGGACTCTGACAAAAGTAAGGAGAATGTCATTTGGGCTGTGGATCCAGGCTGATTCGCTCAAGGGACTGAATCTGGCTGTCATCACACAGCTAAGAAGGACACTATGAGCAGATGTTCGGTGCCGCAGCAGGAACAGGGGAGGGCAAGAAACTGAGGTTCTGCCACATGCGTTGAAAGAAGGGGTCTCAGAAAGAGGTGTCGAGGTCTGTGCTCCAAACATTAAAAAATATGGAGGACACAGAGAGGATTTAGAGAGGAAGTCAAAATCTGGTCAAAGAATTATTAAGTACTACCTGTAAGGAAAAACCGTAGGTGTGGAATTGCACAATAAACTTTATTAACATTTTTTGTGTGCCAGGCATTATACTAACTACATTTCAAATTCTTTTACTTTGAGATTAGAAGACAGAAAAATGACCTTCTGAAGAACTTCTGTAATCAGGGTCTCAATAGGAATTGTTGGCTGTGGGCCCAGCCTGCCCTACGTGAGAAACAAGGGCCATCCCTGGTCACAGGAGCTACCATTCTGGTTGCAGAAAATAGGTATTTTGACAAAACAATTAGTATAAATGGCAGTATTCTATATGTATTTGCACCAATGATACTGATATAATAAAGTGCTGAATAATGTGAGGAAAAAGAATCATTTGGAAAACAGGTTCACACAGAGTGATCTCTTGTGTGTACTATAATGAAGGGGAAGGAAAAGGAACATGTATTGAAGGCCTTCTATGTACCAGCTATTTTCACCTCACAAAACCTCAAGATAGATTATATGTTATTACTTCAACTTTATAGAAAAGAAACTTCAGACTCAGGGAAGTTTAGTAATTTGCCCAAGTCTACTCAGTAAGTGGAGAAAAGGTCTGTCTGATGCCAAGGATCAATTCATGGGAAAATTCTCACAAAATCTATTGGCCTGGTCAGAGAGGAGGGCATAGGGCCCTCCCAGTAGGAGCAAACAAACTGCAGATAGCACAAGAAGAATGGAACTCAACCCTAGCAGGCGAGATTGTATTTGGTCATGATTATGAAAGTGGTTCCGCAGTCTGAGATTTCTAGGAAGAAGCACTATTACCTTCTCCACAAATCTGTTAAAGCTAGCAGCTTGAAAATTATTTCTTTTTTTCTCTCTAGAGGCAAAGGGGCAAATGAGGAGAACTTTCAATGTCTCCTCTACCCAATGAATCTCTGACTCTACGAGTTTCCTTCCCAAGACACTGTGGTCCAGATGTTTTAAGAGCTGCCCCCCTTGCAGCCTACAAGATAACACGTGCAAATAATTTGTTAGCATCTAATTGCAAGAACAATGAGTCCCCTGTGCCTCATTAGAGGGCATAAATGGGTAATTGGAGCCATGGTTAGTGGGCTGAGGTCACACTTTTCTGCTGGTTGAGATGCAAACGCCACAAGCATAAGCCATCCCCTTTAAGATTTTTACTTTCCAGATAATGCTAAAAAGGGCAAGAACGCTCTGTTCCAAGAAGCAGAAAGCAAAAGAAACAGACTTCCTAGCTTCTGGTGCTTTGGTCAATGAGTCTACTCTCATCTCATCTCAAGTTTTAATTCCAAAGACAAGGTCGAGGCCACATCTTTACTTCTTCTTGGGTTTAAGGCAAATGACTCCTCTGAGATTCCAGGTTTAAGCACTATTTTGTGGTGGGCTTGGGCCAATGGCCTCCCTGGACATGAGAAGATGAGGAGGGGGAGGAAGAAGAGAAGGAGGAAAAAAAGGAGCAGGAGGAAGAATCCAGTGCCAGCCAAGCCTGATTCTCTCCCACTGAAGTCAGGGGCAACAGCTGGGCGCAGCTTCAGTTGAGCTCTGTCAGTCCAGGCCTGGAGAATACATCCTGCAACCAAAAAATAGGACCTTTGCCTAGGTGATCTTAGAATGGCATTTCCCTTCTAGAGGGAAGTCTTTGAAAGCAATAAGACTGAATGTTTCATAATTTGGTCTGATTATAAACAAGGTGTAAAGTTTATAGTGCATACCTGGTATACATTCCTTCCTCCTCTAATAAATTATGCATCCTTGGTCCCCCCCACTTACACACCTCACAAAGACTCAAAGGACTTGCTCCTCCTTTATTTTTGAAAGACGCTTTCAGTCAAGACCAATGTATGGTAGTAGGTGGTCTATTGGCAAAAAGCATAAGATACAAAATCAAGAACCTTTCTGCCAAATATGCCATTAACTCAGATGCCCTCTGACGAGTCACTT